ACTTATTTCCTGTCACTCTCACAAGCTGTCCCCAAAACTAGATGTGTATTGGTGCTACATGGCTGTGCATCTGCTCATTGGGAGGACATTTGAAGAACATGCTCGTTTAAGGGCATCCTCACTGGTTCTCCAGTGTTGCACCATTTGGGATGCACAGGAGGAAGCAGGTCCAGGCGAGCAGCTCCTACTCAAGGCAGCCACAGAGACACAGGCCTTTCTTGGGGCTCTCTCCATGCAAGATGAGACCTCAAATTCCAAATTTGTAAAAGCTAAATTAAAACTGACCTCATATTCAATTGCATGATCTCAAAACAAAAGTAGAGAGGATTTTAATAGGCTGTGCAAAAATCACACATTTGCATCTGGCTGGGTAACATCCACAGGGGTCTTGGATCTGGCAGAGAACAGTGAACAGCGTTTTCTTGGCTTGCGGCAATCTCTGTGCCTAATGTTTTGTGATATTTCCTCTTAAATGCTAACAATTAATACCCAGTATCTTTTTATTTTTCCTAGCACTCCTGAAAATAAATGAAACATGAGCCATGAATACAGTCGAAAGAGAGATACATGCTGTGTGTGGGTTTTGTTAGCACTCTGATCACTTACTACGATTTAACACACTGGTGGTCTCAGGTTGTGTTTCTTAAGACAGTAACTCTTACACTACAGACTGCAAGGACAGTCCTGATAACCTTCCTTCTTTCCTTGAAACAGACACTGTACAAATGCAATGTGGAAGGCTTTTTGTGTCCATTCTTTCAGTCCAAACTGTGTCTTCTTTATTGAATATCCCCTTTCCTTCTGCTTTCCTTTTACAACCACTATTTTAAAGAGTAATAGTGTTTTTTAAAACCTGGGGGGTTGGTTGGTTGGTTGGTTGGTTTGGGGTTTTTAAGCTACTTCTAATGGATCATATCTGCTTTCCTGAATTGAAATAAAAGGTAAAGAGATTGAGAGATGTAATTCTGCAGCTCATAGGTATAAATCAGTATTTAAAGCATATTAGTTTTAAAACAGTGTAAATTATATGAGAAATAAGTGCATAAAATGCAGAAGGCTTTTTTCTTAGAAAGAATGATGCACTAGTCTTGCAGAAAAGAAAACATGCTTGATCTAACTTTCTTCTGAGGACAAAAATATGCTACAGATTTTTAGAGCTGGTTTTAGAGTTTTGTTTGCTAATGCCATTGTCTTTCCTTTCCTGCTAATTAAAAATTGTATTGTATATTGAATTTATACTAGTAGCACATGGAGCAATAATAAAATGTAATTCAATTTCATCAAGGAAATAAATGAGAACTTGTAGTCTGGATCATATAACAACTTCCAAAATTTGTTTTGTATAGATTAAAGGAGGCATTGTTGTTGGCTTGGGTTTTAGAACATGTGGAATATTTTGATTTTTTGTTTTCTTTTCAGGAAGGCTGATTTTGCATTTAAATGGAAACTACTTCAAACTACCAAGCATTTCCGTGCAAACTGCATTGTCTTCTGAAAAGCATTTTTATGCCTTATATTTTGAAAAACTCTGTTTGAGAGGTCTACTCCCAGGTGCTGCCCCTAAAGCCAGAAAGCAATGGAGATGATTCAAAAAGGGATGGATTCCTGAGAGAAAGCCATTCTTAGCCTGATTGCCTGTTTAATTTGCTCACCTGCAGCTAAACTTGTTCAAAACACACACTAACCAGGGTGAGTTTAAGTCAGGTCTATCCCAAATGCTGAACACCCACTTCAGCAGAGTTCTGTGCTCAAGCTAATGTGCTTTGTCATGGATTTATGGCCTTAGCAGAAAATGACAGTGAGGTCTGTGGGCTTCTTGTGGTAGATGAATAATATGACTGAAATTCAGTAATCTATTAGAAAAATGATATAGGAATAGTTCATATCGTTACTCAACCCTCAGCCCTTCATCAGTTTGGTATTTTAGTTTTTAAAATGTCTAATGAAGGAAAAGATTAGGGAAGCAGTGAATCATTAGCCCTTCTCAGCTGGGTAGGGCCTTAGAAAAAGGAAGTGTCATTGGCTGTAACTTACTAAAGCAAGAACAAAACAACTTTCAATCTTTCCAAAACTATTTAAAATACATATTGGTACTTCTACAATATTTATTATTTAGATTTAGCACTGCAGTAGCACCTGATGATGTTAAAGGTCAGAATCCCAAAGTGCTCTGCGTTATTACAAATACACCGTAGGAGACAGTCCTTTCTCAAATGGCAGTCTAGGTAGTCTCATATATAGATTAAAAAAAAAGTGTAAAAGAGATGTTGGAGAGACTTATCCCGGTCCACAGATGTTAAGAAGTCTGTGGCATAACCAAGAGACTCTCCAGTCTTGCTGTTGATCCTGAACTTTTTTGAAATTCTACAAATACTATTTTGTATGTTCCTTATAATGTTCTACTTTTGTTGAAGGTTTAAAGAAAAAGTCTTGCCTGTAGGAGGGTTAAAGGCAACAGTCTCACTGTACACATGGCTCCATCAGCTCCTACTGTTTCCATGGACACACTTGTTAACGTTTGACATTTTTTGACAGTGCCTTATTGCAAGGTTATTTCAAAGATTGGAAGGGTGACAGGAGAGGAAATTTAGTACTATAGAAATACAGGTTCTGTGAAACCCAGTGGAGACTACTGATGTATATGGGGTATTTACACACCCAAAGAAAAGATAGAATTTATATGTTCTAAATATTTTCATAATTTACCTTTCATCTTTATTATATTCTGCCAAAATATTTGCTACGAGTTTTTGAGTTCTCAATGAACTGTGTAAAATGAGATATTATCTTGTCATCTCATTTTTAATCTCTTTTGATTCTGTAATTTGCAAAGGAAAAAGAATTAGTACCTGAAGTAAGCTCCTGGCAGTGGCTGCAGTCTTTTATGGCCCGTGTTCACAGCTATACCCAGCCTCTGATTTCTTCACTGTCATCATTTACAACATCAAAGGGACAGTTAGTTCACTTCTGCTCTGTTCAAAGAATCAAAGCCAATTCATTAAATTGTATATACATGTACTTGACAGTTTGTTTCAGATGTCTTACTTTCAAACCCAGTGGAAAGTATCTTGCTTTGATATAAATAGCACTTAATGTGCTCCAAAACAACTAAGAGGATATATTTTTATAAAGTTGGTTTTTTGCATCTCAGAATGAAATGTGCTGCCATTCCCAAAATGGTGAAAAAATGAACATTTCACTGCACTTTTCAAAATAAATAAAACCTCACTAACACCTATTTTGTTCCTATAGAGCAAGAGATGATTTATGAGACCTTCAGACAAGAGCCTTCTAGGGAGACCTCAGAGCAGCCTTTCAGTACCTACAGGGGACCTACAGGAGAGCAGGAGAGAGATTTTTACAAGGATGTGTAGTGACAGGACAAGGGGGAATGGCTTTAAACTGAAGATTTAGGTTGGGTATAGGAAAAAACTTTTTTCTGTGAAAGAAGTGAGACACTGGAACAGGCTGCCCAGGGAAGTTGTAGGTGCCCCATCCCTGACAGTATTCAAGGACAGGTTGGATGAGATGCTGAGCACCCTGGTCCAGTGGAAGGTATCACTGCTCATGACAGGAGGATTGAAACTAGATGATCTTTCTGGACCCTCCAACCCAAACCATTCTAAGATTCTAGTGCATGGTTCTAAGACACACAATGCATGGCTCTACTTTGAAGAGCCTCTGGGAGTCAAGAAAAGTAAAAGCAAATAAAGTGTCTCCATGGTCACAGAAAAATTAAGATTATCTGCTGAAAACAAAGCAAGAGCAGGAGTTGCTCCTAAACCATTATTATGAGCACACCAAAGTAAAAATCTCAGTCTCAGACAAACCAAACTGCAGCCCTGATTACCTCAAGTCTCACATGGCTATGGCCATTGAAATACAAACTTGACTTGAGATGCAAACATCAAATATGGAGGTTTTTCATAAACTACTGCTATGGATCTGGGCATCTTTACTTAGTTACTCTGATGGTGTATCTTTTCATTAAATTACAGATTTTTTCTGGTTATATAAGTATCCATATCATAAACTTTTGGGGGAAAAAGGTAGCAATTTTTCATTAAATAATGTAACAGAAATATTTCAAATCCTATTGCCTCACTTCTGTAAAGAAATAGTTCATGCCCACTTCTCATATTGGCATTGTAAAACTACTATTTGGCCACCTAGAGTCAAACAAAAAAATGACACATCAGAATGATTAATCTCTTAAATAAAAATAGTTTGCTTCAAGAAAAAAAATCTTATACGGGGTCAGTACCTAAAATAATTGTATTTATATGATAGGATCAAAGATTGAAATTTTAGGTATGTTTGCAGGATAATAATATCACTACAATGACAGATGGATAATTTTACTTAGTGTAATTATTTTTGTCAGAGTTTTTTCCTTCCTTCAGCCACCTATGCTCCCAGTTGCTGTTTCTTGCCTGAGACATTTTCCTTTCATGGCTGTATGAGAAAATCCTGTCGGCTATCCAGCCTAATCAAGGCCTGGCTTAGTAGAGTTTGTAGAAAGAGAGGAAACAAAAGGACAATGGTTAGGATTTGAATAAATGAATAAAGAACCAGGACAGTTCAAAAATGTAACAAGACTATGATTTTTTGTTGGAGTTACACCTCATTCAGGAGCAAAAGTAAAAAGTATGGTAGAAACCCATTGATGTAGGAGGAAATGACAGGGGCTTTTTATGTTACAAAGACAGATTGCAGGAGTGTAGTAGTGCAGTTGGTACTACCTGATTGTTTGGCAACTGGTTTTCTAAGTACTTGAAAATTTACATTATATTTTACATTATTTTCAGAAATGCTGTGATTTCTAAGACTCCAAAAGGCTTAATGGTCCAAGCTAAAGGTCTTAAGTAGTTTACTTCCAAGGCAGAATACAAAATACTGTACCTATTCCCTACCTCCAAATAATAATGTATATCTCATAGCTCTTTTTTACTCTGCTCCTTCATCTTCCTAATTCCTCTCTGCCCATTTTGCCACATCAAGATCTGTTCTAGCTCAGCTGGTCAGAGCATGGTGCTAATAATGGCAAGATTGTAGGTTTGATTCCCATATGGGCCATTTGTTAAGAGTTGGGCTTGATGATCCGTGTGGGTCCCTTCCAGCTCAGAATATTCTGTGATGTTTCTGTGCTTCTAGTGAGCCAGCTGGCCAGGACACAGCCCCAGTTATTGCCCTGAAATGCCAATGTCATTTTGCTGTTAAAGACCCTTCTTGACACAGCTTTCACAAGCACTTTCCTGAAACCATGCTCTCCCAGACAAGAGACATTAGTAGCCCCAAACTGTTCCCAGTAAGTAGTTTGGATGAGATCCTCCTGCTTTAGGAAAAATTAGTTATCAGCATGGTACTGGTTATGTCACTTGCACTCAGGACCCAGGAGAATGTCCTGGACCAATTTTCTCAGTCACTGCCTGAAAAGGCTGAGAAAAAATAGAAGTTGTTGACATTGAACAATGAGATAAGGGAGTCCCAAACAGCTTTCACAAGATCTACTCTTACCCCCAAGACAGCTTCTCTCTGATGACATTTTTGCAAAAATAAGGAATGGTGACAACATGGAAACTTCATTTCATGTGTTAAAATATTCGGTGATTCATACTCTGTACAATGTCTATGTAAATAGTGAATAAAATTTTTTTTAGTACTCCAACAGCACAGCAATGCACACTTCTGCTCAACAAAAAATAGAAAGTATAGAGCAATGGTGCAGCCCTGTACCATAGGTGACCCCATATCCAAGAATTGCTTCATGTTAACCCTTTGAATGAAAATATCAAGCAGCATTTGATGAACTGGGAGACTATGTCCTCATCAAGCAGCAAAGAGCAGTGGGTGACACCTCAGTTGTATGCTACTGCTGCGGCCACTTTGGCTACATGCAGTATAAGCAGAAATTGTCTCTCTTCTCTGTGGGTTCCTTTGGAACAGTTCGTTTTGTCACTGCCTTGCCTTCCCTTCAGCTGTTTCTCCACAGGTGAAGTGAGCTGTTCACTCCTCTCCTTAAACATTTCAGGATGGAAACTTGTTTCTCTGTTGTATTGTGAGCATTGGTGAACTGTCACAAGCAAATTTGTCATCAGCCAGGGGAACAAAAAGGTGTAAAAGGTATTTCCAAGACTGTTGCCCTGCTGTATATGCTGGTACTCAGAGACTTACCCTAGGGCTCTGAAATAGCACTCCAAGCACTGAGCTGTGTGCCTTCTCCTCAACCTTACCTGTGATCCAACAATTACAGAGCAATGAGCTTCCCAGACATTTAGGGATATGGGAGTGACGATCTGGGGCAGTGAGCACCCCTTGCCAAGCAGCCAGGGGCAAGGAAATGCAGGTCTCAGCTTTGTCAGGAATCTCAGCTATTGAGACAAGGAAGGCTTGGTGGTGAAATGAGAGACACTGAGTCAATGAAGATGAACAAAGTCACGCTAGGTCAGTCACAGCTTCAGCCCTCTCCTTCCTCACAAACACACGAGGTTTGGACATCTGTATAGCTCTCTGGTTAAAATAACAGTGTTCTATTAGGATAGAGTTTACAGGAAACTGAAATATGCCTTAATAGGCTGCTTATATGTGCTGTATGGACCTTGGATAATTAGGATTTCCTAAGAAAGCAAGGCAGCAGGATAATTGCATGACATTTAATGCAACATTTGCCAGGAAGAATTGACCTTACCTATTTTCTGGAAATGAATTTTCAGTACAGTTTCAAAGTGAAACCAAGTCTATTTGTGTTGACTGTGAATATTTGTCAACACTGATTTTAGAATAGGTAAAACAGTGTATTTCTTCTCCTAGAAATCTCAAACACAGAAGATGAAAAATTAAAATCTGAAACAAGAAAGTCTGAACAAAGAAATAGTTTTATTTTTAGTAAATAAGATAATTTATGGATTTATACTCTTAACTTTTTATTATTGAAACCCATTAGTAGTAAGAATATTGTAATTTAACACTGTTGTTTTAAAATAACACTAAAAACTGTTCTCCAAAAAGACCTTTATTTCTGTTGTACCACTGCCTACAACTGCATTCATAGTTATTGCACATAATTTATATTGACCAGTTAAGCAAAAGATTTACTGCATGATAAATTAACATCCTTACCACAGTAAGAGTATTTTGCCTATGTCCAAGATACCTGAATTAATTCCATCCTTTGACAAACAACATTTTTTAAATTTATTATACCGGTTGCTTACAGATCAATAAACATTTCAGGAATTTATATGATTGCTGATTGTGACAGATACAATTTTAACCACTGTGATAAATATGAAAAATAGTCACCATAAGAAAAATGAAATTGTAATGAAAGGCAGACAGACTTGCAATAAAGGAAGGATAGTAAATGCCAGAAGCATATTCCTATTAGATGCAAAAATAGTGTCATATAAAAGAGGCAAAGTTAAATTTACCATTACTGTAATTTCAATTCAGAAAATGAAATGAAATTGCTAACAGCAGCTACTGCTGGAAGGTAGAAGATAGTTAATTAATTTAAGCTAGGTAACAGGAATCTTAGAAGTTTACCTGGGGTCTGGTCTTGCTCCCACTGAAGTGACAACAAGATCAAGCTTTAACGTGGTTCCTGATATCAGTATCCTGATATGTTTGCTCAGTTCTAAGATAGCAAATTATGAAAGTCATTGGAAATTTTAACCTTCTCCAAAGCCTGTGTTCACATCTAACCTGAACATGCAAGTACTATTTGCATTACTACATTGTTAATTACAACTATGTAAAAAGCATTTCCATCAAAACTATATTTATTTTATATGGCTTTGTTTCCATGGAAATGCATTACTTTTAACAAAATAAAAAGGTCTAAAAGCAGAGAAGATCTCTCAGACATCCCTGTGTGTCCCATTTCTCCACAACCCACACAGTTCTCATCAGCCTGAATGCAGCTCAGCAGCAAAAGACTCTGATGCTCATGGGGAGCAGAGCCCAGAGCCCAGCCTGGGGGGGTGTGGGCTGAGCCACTGCACCAGTAATTCCCAGGAGACACTGTGGCTAGTTTCACAGACAATTTTCTAGATCTTAGGTGTTGGTGTTTTTGCCATAAAATATATTTAAAGATGAGAGCTAAAAAAAATGGGTAGTCCTAGTAACAGGCAATACTGTTCAAGGGCCATACACCCAGCAGACATCAGCTAGACCACATCCTTTTTTATCTCTTCATCAGCTGTCTCATGCTCACAGAAAAGTGATCCATTTCCAGCCCAGTAGAAATGTGATGTCCATATTCATAGCAGAAAGGCATTCATTTCACTGAAGGTAGTTCCACAGAAATGTATTAATCAGCATTCCTGCAGTGTCCCATCACCAAAACCAAGCAATTATATATATATACAAATCAAGAAAACATTTAGCAATACTTTATTCCTCTTTGCAGAAATGTTTTCTCTGTCAAAAAATTGTTGTAATACAGAATATTAGTACTGCAGTAGATCATTGGGGATATGAAATATCTTAGGTTGGTAGCTTTTTGTGGGTTTGGTACCCACAAAAAGTATTTTGCATTTCTAAAAGTTAATGAATTCATTACAGAGAGGAAGTTTGGAAGAAAAAGTTTAAGTGAGTCCCTAGCTAGTCACAGAAATTCTCATAAAGGTGGAAGGAAGCTTCTTTTGAAATTTATTTTTAAAATATAGGTCAGAATTATATAAAAAAAAAACCTTGAGGTCCCACTAATTTGTGATAGCTGCACTTTGGTCATATTTGAAAAGGGCAGATAAATATTTATGGAAAAATGCTTCAGATGCACTTTACAGAGTGCTACTACTTGAGCAAAATTTTTTTAAAATAATTTTTTTTTAATATATCATACCAACCAAAAATTAAGGAGTCTACCACCCTCCCTTGCATGTTTAGAGAGACAGAAGAATCACAATGAATGCTGCAAAGACTTTTAGCTGTGCCAGAATGAAGCAGAGGAATACATTCTGAGTACCTGAGTTTCCATCCTTTGAGACGATGAACTGTCAGTCTGAATGCTTTTATTGCTCAAGCTATCAAGTCAGAGGTCAAGTCCTTGGCCATTTAGTACTTCACAAGTCAAAAACACTGTGATCAAGAGAATGTCCAACTTTATATACTGAGATCATCACAAAACAGGCTATGGTCAAGGATGTTGTACTTTCATTGTTACTAAGAAATTGCCAAGGTATATGAACCAAATTGAAATGGATAGTTCTATGTATGTACACATACAGTCCAACAAGCCAGTGATGACACTGTTCACAATTTTCACATAATATTCCTCTCAAATTTCTATTAATTCTCTTCAAATCTTGCCCCATCTTTACGTGCTACAGAATTTAAAATAACTACCAGAAGATTTTGCAATAAATGGTAAAGGATGATGAAAAGAATGCACTTGCTAACCAGGAAATAAGTATCACCATGGTAGAAATTATCAACTTTACACCAGCTGCAGAAGATTTGTTAGATTATTTTACTAAAGAATATCTCAATAAAGAGACACACTTGCAATACAGATTCTAATCAAGAGTGCCCATTAAACAGTATAGAGCCTATCCAAAACATTGAGCACAGAAAATAGTGTCTGATTTTATAAATTCACTTACTATCAGTTCTGATCAAGCATCTCCTAGGGAAGTAGCCAATCATTCCAAAACCTGTATAAAACAGCATTAGTCAGAGAGACAAAAAAAGTGAATAAGCTTATGAAATGACAAGCAGTGTGTCACTTGTCAGCATTTGCTAGTTCACAGCATGTACATCACAAGAGTACAGCACTCATGTGTAAAAGCACAATAGGAACTATATTACAAATTAATGTACAAATTTATATTACCAAACCCAAAAATGTGTTCTATACAAACCTTGTTTATAAAGCAGTGATACCTGCATATTTTGACAAGATTTCCGTCTTCATCAAGATTTGGAATTGGTTAACTTCCCTTTAAAGACTGGAAGTTGTTCTCACTTTCCACCAGGAAGTAAATCAGACTGATTCTTCAAACCAGGATAGAAATACTTCATAAAATTGTCCCTCTTGGAGTCTTGGCAGTGGACACTATGGCACTGAGTGTAGA